AAAAACAACTAATATTGTAATGCCCTTGCATAAAGATACGGTGCAGCCTCATTTGGAATACTTAACTGTGTCCAGTTCTGTTGGTCACTGTATCTTTAAAAGGACATTGCAAACCGGTACAAAGTACAAAGGCGGGTAACCCAAGATGATTAAGGGCCTGGAGCACCTTTCCTAGAGGAAAAGCCGGAGAGTCTGGGACTTTTGAGTCTATTAAAAAAAGGGGGCTAAGGGGAGAAATAATAAAGGCTTAGAAAATTATACGTGGGGTGGAGAAAAGCGGGTAGGAGGAGCTTTTTCTCCCTCCCGCAGAACATTAGAACTTGGGAGAACCCAATAATGTTGTTGGGAAACAGGTTTAGAACAAACCGAACGAAATACTTCTTTACTCAATGTGTAATTAAACGGTGGGATTCACTGCCAGTGGAGGTAGCGGTGGCCACAAGACTCGATAGCTTTAAAAGGGGGTCAGAAAGATTCATGGATAAATCCTTCAGTGGCTAGTAGTAGCCATGGTGACTGAAGGGAGCCTCCATATACAGAGGCAGCCTACCTCTGAATACCAGCGTTGGGAGGAAGCAGCGGGGGAAGGTTTTGGCCTCTATGCCCTGTTGGCCCTCCAAGGCAATTCACTGGCCCACTGTGTAATACAGGATGCTGGACTAGACGAACCACCAGTCTGATCCAGCAGACTCTGCTGACGTTCTTACATTGTTAGATTAACTACCAAGTGGGGAGTTTGTAAAAAAGGGAAGTGGTCATATTGTTGCAGGCATCCTTTCTGATCAGGCTCAGATATCACATGTAAGAAAGTCCTCTTGGAAAAGACTCAGTCGCAGGGGCCATAATTACTTAAACCTCACTGCAAAAAGGGACACCATTCCCAACAGAACATTTGTTCCAACAAACAAAAATATTAGGTTCAAGAAAGACATGTTGATAAAATATTTATTTAGAGAAGCTTGTAAACATATATACAAGGAACTGGCACAACATCTTGAAAATTCTAGCTCATGGGGGGGGGGATTTTCTCTCTCCTTCGTTCCTGCTTTTTAACGCCCTCTTTAATACACAATGGAGCTGCGGTGGCTCAAGTGGTTAAGACGCTGAACTGCAGGCTGTGGAAGGTCGGTAGTTCAGCAGTTCGAGACCCGAGTGTGCCGCATGACGGAGTGAGCTCCCGTCTCTAGTTCCAGCTCCTGCCAACCTAGCAGTTCGAAAGCAAGAAATTGCAAGTAGATAAATAGGTACCACTTCGGTGGGAAGGTAACAGCGTTCCGTGCGCCTTGGTGTCTAGTCATGCCGGCCACATGACCATGGAAACGTCTTCGGACAGCGCTGGCTCTTCGGCTTTGAAACGGAGATGAGCACCGCAGCCCTAGAGTCGGACTCGACTGGCTTTCGAGCAAGGGAGACCTTTACCTTTAATACACAAAGGCCCTTCCTCCACTCTCCTTTTATCCACCGTGGTGTCCTCCGAGCAATTCTGCACTAAAATCAAATTCAACCCTCTTTTGGGCCAGTTTGGTGTAGTGGTTAAGTGCGCAGACTCTAATCTGGGAGAACCGGGTTTGATTCCCCACTCCTCCACTTGCACCTGCTGATGTGACCTTGGGTCAGTCACAAGCTCTGGCACAGCTGTCCTTGAAAAAGAGCAGTTTGTGTCAGAGTTCTCTCAGCCCCACCTACCTCTCAGGGTGTCTGTTGTGGGGAGGGGAAGAGAAAGGAGTTTGTAAGCTGCTCTGAGACTCCAAGTGAAGGGCGGGGTATAAATCCAATCTCCTCCTCCTCCTCCTCCTCCT